TTCTCGAGAGTAACATTGCACAGCTATTTGCCCTTGACCATTTCAAGCGCGTAAGAAGGCTGAGAACCAATAATCAATAAATCGAAATAGGATCTTATTAACAAAACAAAGCTCAATTTTATATATGAGGTATTGAAGAAAACTTGGTCCCATGCATAACAGCATGGCAAAAGTTTATTTATTTATATCAAATGGCAGGCGTTTTGATGGTTATCATCAGCCCTTTAGTTGACTTCAGGCTTTACAGAGGGGAAGGTACATCGAAATGAGAAAAAGTCGAGAGAGGTGGGGACAGAAGAGTGTTTCAAAGATGTAAGGGACAAACACAAAGGTAGAACAATGGTGAGGTGAGTGCTGTGAAAATGGTCGAATATAGCATGGAGTGAGGTGATGGTAGTTTGAAGTGAGAAGTCAACTGCCAGTTAATAGACTTTTTTGCCCTATGAATATACGTTGCCCAGGGTGCACCACGTAGAGGTAAGTCTATCGCACACCCCACATGGCTCTCTGTTGAAATATAATGGCATAGGTGTATTTTGAGTCCTAATTCATTTACCAAATGCATCATATTATTACTATAAAATAATTAGGGGACTTTAAGGTGAATGTAAACAAATATAGGATATTTGGATAAAATTCAGCCGCAATAGTTGAATATAACCGAAAAAATTCCACGATAAATTATATAACCATAAGTTACCAGATAAGATTATCAACTTAAGCCAATATAAAGTAATTTAAATCCATTTTCGAAACAAATATATATCCTGTTTATTCACAATTTCATAGATACAACTGATCCTAAAGCTTCAGCATCTCTATTTCGAATTCGCTCAAAAGAAGACATGGAAAGTGACATTCGCCAGGGCATCTACGTTGAATGGGGTACCGTGGAGGGACATCATTATGGTATCAGTTTTTCGGCAATTCGAGAAATAATCACTACGGGTAGAACAGCTCTGATGGACTGCCAGTGTCAGTCCGTCCATCTCCTTCATCAACCTGAGTTCAATCCCCATGCTGTCTTTGTATCGGCACCGAAATTCGAAATCGCCAAAGCTATGATGGAAAATGGAATTCGAGAAAGTCTAACAATGAATAAAAGAACGGTATTCTCAATTTTTAAATTGTATTCTGTTCAATAGAAATAACCAGACTACCGTTAACTAGTAGTAGATAGAATTTTTCTTTCAATTTTTTATGACTTGTGATATCCAACGCACTTTCAAATTTCTGAGAAACCTCCAAAACAACAGAGAAAGACCCAAGAAAGAACCAATACACTTAAACAGTAAATTGCTTACCACCGACACCGAAATAGCTAACTGCTTTGCGAGGTTCTATTCCCACAAGCAAAAGAAAAACCCTTTTGTTAGAAAATCTTCAAGAGATTTAAAGATACAAGTAAGACAGTTTGGTGAAATTAAGGATGACATAGCAACACCAAATAATGTACTTACTGAACCATTCCGACATTGCGAACTTAATGCTGCGATAAAACAGCTCAAGTGCAAGAAGTCTCCTGGCGAAGACAGTATTCATCCAGAATTTCTAATTAGAATGGGACCAAAAGCCAAGGAAACCATGCTGACGCTTTACAACAAAATCTGGGAGACCAGTCTCGTACCTAACCAATGGAAAGTTGCCATAGTAATACCAGTACTAAAAAATGGCAAAGACCCTAGCAACTTTGACAACTATAGGCCTATCTCACTCACAAGCGTGCTGGCTAAACTTATGAAAAGAATGGTTAACAGGAGGCTGACCTGGTTTCTTGAGACTAACAATATTCTTAGGAGCGAACAAGCAGGTTTTAGGCTACAAAGACCAACAAATCAACAAGTTGCCACTTTCTCCCAACACATCAAAGATGCCCTTGATGCAAGAAATACCCTTACGGCTGTTTTCGTCGATTTCAAATCAGCATATGACTTAGTATGGAAAGAGAAGCTAATTCTAAAATTGGCAAAGATTGGTATTAAGCATAACATGCTAAACTGGATAAAAGCATTCATTGGACAAAGATC